TGGCTCTCACAGACCTGTAACGTCTTCTGTAAGAAGCTTTTCTGTCCCCCACTCGTTACCTGTATAAAAGACACCTGTCCACAGCCTCAAACAGTCAGACTCCAAACTCCGCCATGGCCAAGACCAAAGAGCTTTCGAAGGACACCAGGAAAAGTATTGTAGACCTGCACCAGACTGGGAAGAGTGAATCTACAATAGGCAAGCAGCTTGGTGTGAAAAAATCAACTGTGGGAGCAATCATCAGAAAATGGAAGACGTACAAGACCACTGATAATCTCCCTCGATCTGGGGCTCCACGCAAGATCTCATCCCGTGGGGTCAAAATGATCATGAGAACGGTGAGCAAAGATCCCAGAACCACACGGGGGGACCTGGTGAATGACCTGCAGAGAGCTGGGACCAAAGTGACAAAGGTCACCATCAGTAACACACTACAACGGCAGGGAATCAAATCCCGCAGTGCCAGACGTGTTCCGCTGCTGAAGCCAGTGCATGTCCAGGCCCGTCTGAAGTTTGCCAGAGAGCACATGGATGATACAGCAGAGGATTGGGAGAATGTCATGTGGTCAGATGAAACCAAAGTAGAACTTTTTGGTATAAACTCAACTCGTCGTGTTTGGAGGAAGAAGAATACTGAGTTGCATCCCAAGAACACCATACCTACTGTGAAGCATGGGGGTGGAAACATCATGCTATGGGGCTGTTTTTCTGCCAAGGGGACAGGACGACTGATCCGTGTTAAGGACAGAATGAATGGGGCCATGTATCGTGAGATTTTGAGCCAAAACCTCCTTCCAAAGGAGTGGCTCCGTAAGAAGCATTTGAAAGTCCTGGAGTGGCCTAGCCAGTCTCCAGACCTCAACCCCATAGAAAATCTGTGGCGGGAGTTGAAAGTCCGTGTTGCTCGGCGACAGCCCCAAAACATCACTGCTCTCGAGAAGATCTGCATGGAGGAATGGGCCAAAATACCAGCTACTGTGTGTGTGCAAACCTGGTAAAGACCTATAGTAAACGTTTGACCTCTGTTATTGCCAACAAAGGTTATGTTACAAAGTATTGAGTTGTATTTTTGTTATTGACCAAATACTTATTTTCCACCCTGATTTACGAATAAGTTCTTTACAAATCCTACCATGTGGATTCATGGATTTTTTTTTCACATTCTGTCTCTCACAGTTGAAGTGTACCTCTGGTGCAAATTACTGACCTCTGTCATCATTTTAGGTGGGGGAACTTGCACAATCGGTGGCTGACTAAATACTTTTTTGCCCCACTGTACATAAAATTGAATTGAACTAATCTATGCTTTACATCACTTGCACTTTCCCACACTGACGGGCTCATTGGTGACGTCAGTGGTGTAGTCCAATAATCTTTCTATCCGACTTCTTCAGGCCAACCAGCCTCCACTCTGTGTACTTTAAATCTCATTGCCCATCTGTCATTCTCCCTTGTAACCTACCTCCTCCCCATCTATGCCTCTCCTCCATGTTACTCAGGCTCCTTCAAAGCCTCTATCTTCATAACCACCACCAGCACGTAGACTTCAGGAGGTCATGACCTAATACTATGGACTGGACTATTGGAGTCAAATCGCCAAATAGGTTAATTGAATTCTATACATGTATATCAAGAATTCCTTATTGAACTGATATTTGGATCAGATATCGGGGACAACAAGCCTAGTTGCATAGGCCTAAACCATCTGGCAACCACCGACCACTAGGGGAAAGTATGTTCTGTGACAGGTTGGCAAATGGTTGCTGGGAGTTTCTAGGTGAAATTGTTTGCAAAGAAGCATAAGGATGCAGAATCAAAAAGCTCCTTTGGAATTCTTTTGGCAACGAGCAGTTTGCCATGCTCGTCAGTAGAGGCTCATGGAGGAGCTAGCATTAGCTCAAACACTTGGAAAGCCGAGAAAAAGCAGAAGGAAGAGAAGACAACAAAAAGTAATTAAAGTAAAAACGAATTCTTTAACAACTTGCAGAGCTTTACTCAACTGAACTCAGAGTGTGGACTCAGAGGTTTCATAGCACCTGTTAAACTGAGCTGCGTGACTCAGTCTAACTTAGCAGGTTTGTCATAGGAGATAGGAATCTATCGGTGTTTGAGAAAAGTTGCAGCAGTGACAAAAAAGTGAATGCAGTTTTAGTGGCTGTCAGATTATTTCAGTCATCCATAAAGTGTGCTGATAAGCTGTGGTTGCGAAAAAATAGTAAGTGAAACAGGCTGCCAAGTTAGTCTGTTACCCTAATTGTGCTGTTGTAGTTTGCTTACTGCATTTCTCTATGCATGTTTGGAATGCAGTGTGAAATTTACTGTGCAGGGGAATCTGGAATATACGTGGATACTACCACATGACACATACCATCCATATTAATGTTGTTGTACATCCCCTGTGGGACTATAGCCACTCCCTGGTAGCAGCAGCCTAACCTATCATGGTAAAATACCCCATAACACTGCACAATCGCTTATGAATGGTTCAGAGACACGGCAGAGATCACTCCACATATGATCACCTCATCTGCCTCAGTTTATGTACACACTTCTTTGTGCTGCTTCCTTATTTTTTTAGGGAGTGGCTGAGGTTATTGCCAATTGTTCACAAAGATGCTTGATGAGTGCCAACCCTATCATCAATATTATAGTAGATTTTCACTGTTTAGAGAGCTCTTTATATAAAATATTAAATTTTAAAATACCTGGAAAAAAAAGCCTGAGGACGAGCCAGTTGATCAGATTCTTGCAATGAATTATTAATGAAACACAGTAGGAGCACAGCACATTCTATCTCTCTCTATCTTTTTCTCTCTCTTTTTTTTATAAGTATGCAGATTTATTTTCTCTTCTGTTCCAGCAACTGCTTGTCCTTTTTTTTTTTTTTATTATTCAAGGCTGTGTCATACACAGCAGTCTTCACCACAAGTGTGAAACCACAGGATTTCTGTTAATAACAAGTATGTTTGCGTGAAAGGCATCAAAAGAAAAGGCAGGTGCATATTGCAGGTAGAAATAACAAAGAAGCTTCCAGTAGACAAGCAGTTTGATGGACACACATTCTATAGGGAGGATGTATAGTCTACATTAGGGCTGTGCGATATGACCAAAATCTCATATCCCGATATAAAACATCTATCGTCCAATAACAATATAAATCACAAAAAATTTAATATTTTCTGTAAATTCTGTGAATCTCGGGTAGGTGAAGTGTTTCCAGCTGGGCGTCGTGTACCTGGAGTCGAGTGTTTTAACCGATGTATGAAACTGTACATTTTTAGACATAAGTTGTAACGGCCGCCGTTTTCTTTGTGAGTATTTATTACACGGCGTGCTGCGGGGAAAAGCCTGTTCTAACGTTTGAGTCTAAGGTTTATTTTTTAGCACCTGACGACTTTTTTTTTGCTTCTCCTCCCTCCATAATACTTTTTCACGTGATTCCATTTATTTTGAAAAGTCTCAACAGGATCTTGAGCTTTATTGTGAAAGGTTTATGTGAAAAATAAACAAGCGGACATGTGATGGTTTTACCGTCGTTGTTGCTAACAACAACCCATAAAAACAGGCGCTTGTCCGTCCGTAGTGTGGTTATATTAAATATAAGAGAAAGAGAGAACTTTAAGAAATTAATATAGCCACTACAGTGACCAACAAAACGATGAAAAAAATATTGCCGTAAACAGTTTATTTTGCGACACCACGAAACAAACGATAGCGTAAAATGAAACGATAGACGTTTTAATATCGTCATCTGATATATATCGTTATATCGAACAGCCCTAGTCTACATGTCTACATCTTTTTATGAATCTGACAGATATCCATGGCGATGCTGGCCTCCCAGAATGTTGCAGGAAATGTAGATGTGATTTCAGAAACTGAAAATGTATTGTCCGGTTTTAAAAAGCAAGATTTTGATAAAATAATCAGTTGCAGGAAATGCAATTTTACGATAACAAGAAAAACATGGCTCAGTCACAGAATCAAATAATACAGAAGCCATTCCTGTTCCAATATTCTCCCAGATAAATATCAATGAAAGGCTCTTTTCTTTCCAGATGGCATCTCATTCAATCAAGTGCTACCTTAGACCACAAGCTGGGCAGTAATTTAGTAGATTTTTATTGTTTATTTTGTGAATCAAACAAAACAGTCAAAAATCAGCTCTGTAATCATGACTCATCTCTGCATGCTTTAGAGGAATTACTTCATATTAGCCTGTGGCCAATCCATGCAAAAGAGAACAGGTCAGTATGTCAAACCTCAAATTTATGAAAATAAGGAAAATAAACATAATCACGCAGTTTAACCAATATTTATTTTGCATTTTTTTGGTCTATTTTGCAATAATATAATTTTTTATTGACAACAAGACTTTTTACAGGAGCGGCTCCCATCCATCAGCATACACACAGCTCAGTGATACACGTGATAGCTGGTCTGCCTTCATTAACCATGCACGCCACATCCATGTCTTGTTTGATGGATAACTTCTTGGCACATGAGTGCATTTCTCTGAAACATCTGACCTTTATTGACACAGTCCACTTCAATATACTGAGCAATGAAGGGCTCCATCTATTCAATACATGATTGCTTTCGTGAAACGCCTGCTTAAAGAACTCTTTTTGGAATATGTGGGTAGAATTAGCATTTTGCCAAATAAATGAAATCAAGTGACCTTATATGATGAATAGAACAAACAGCATCCTATTCATCACATTCATCAAGAGCTGAAGATGAATAAAAGATTATCATTTACACCCACAATCAGTACAGGTCAATGATTTTAACCCAGACAAATTATTTAGACAAATGTCTTTTTTTTACTCTGAGAATTTGGCTGAGAATATCTAAACGAGCCTCTGTATTTGTCAGGAAAATGTATAGACATAGTTGTGAAACTTGGTTAATAAAGTCATAGTCATCCAGTGCACAGTGTGAATACAGAGGTTTAAGTTCTGTTATAATTGGTTGGCTTTGATCTCCGAACTCTGCAGGAGACTGCTTATGATCCATCCCCAGAGAAACCTGTACTGTGCGCCTCAGTCAGCTCCAAAACCTCCAGGTTCTCATCCTTTTCCAGAATTGAAGACAACACAGCCGGCAGCTCATTCTGATGTAACAGCTTTACTCTTACTTGAAGGTCAGTAACTCTGTTTTGTGGCCTGAAGCTTGTAGTCATTTCTTTCCTGACTGTCTTAGCTGGGACTCCTCCTGCAGGACTACGAAAGCCATATGTCTTCTCCTATTAATATTTTAATTTAAAATTTTCCATATCTCCAGTTTAGGATCTTGATTTCTTTTTTATTAATTAGCTATATTTACATGTATCATTATATCATTTATGTAGTAAGTTGAGTTTCATTTTAGTAATAGTATTGTTTCCGAAACTATTTTGGATTGAAAGTTCTTTTGTATATTACAGTATAATTTATCACTGATAAATTGTTGTTTCTAAAAAAAAAAAAAAAGGACAGCTGGAAAATTTGTTAATCATGGATGCATAAATGTGCATCCGGTTCTGATATACATTAATGCAGTTCACTAGTGTTATGTGTGGGTTCAAACACACATCTGTGTGTACAAATCTGCACTCAGAGTCGATTAGAAAAATTTCAGTAGAAATGACTGCTTGCCTGTGTCTGTCCACATATTCAAGCAAATATATAGGGGGGGGGGTCATGCTTCATCCAACCTATACAGCCACATTGACGTATCGACGCAATGAACAGCAGCGGCGGAAGACGGATGAATGTGTATATATCCATTGGCTGTGACAGCTAAATTAACTGTTGCCAACTAAACTTTTCACCACCTACAGCTTGTTAAGAGACTTCTTTGTCTGATTAAATAAGATAAGTTGGAAAGGCCAAGGTTATAGTTAAGTATATGATAAAGCAAAGGACAAAGCAAACATATACCTTAACATAGCATCTATTCCAGTTATGCTTCCCTCGCCTAAGCATGGTATTAATTATACAGTAATAAGGACTCAAAACAACATCATTGACTTTGGAGGCCACCGTTGTCAATATCATCCTTTTCAATAACAGGCCACCAGTTGATGTTACTTCTTCTCTGTGCTACTTGCTTGTGCTTTGTAGACATGCTGCAGGGATTGGTTTGCTGTCTGTATACATCCCTGAGAGAGGGTCTGTCATTCATAGCCACACTGTTTATTTTTTGACCTTTGCATTCGTTGTATCCATCTGTCCTTTGGCTGGCTTTGCAAGTGGAGCCGTGTCCTCTGAGGAAAGGCAAGGAGGAGGAGATGAAAGATTCATACAGGCACACGCGGCATGAGGGAGGTAGCAGGAGAGCTCCACCAGAGAGAGTTAATTAGGATCTCCCTTTCCCAGGCAATCACTCTGCTCTTGACATTTCATCTCACTTTTTCCCGAACAAATCTCCCTACGACTTGCAGAGACAGGCAGAGAGACAGAGAGGAAGTGCTTGACCTTGGTTAGGTGTTGTGCTGCATTGCTAGTTTTAGCTCACATCAGTCTGCCTGCCCATGATAACGTTCAACATGAAACAGTGGAATAATCCCACAGCTCTCCAAGCAACCTGTCTCTAACAGTCTGCCTCCTTTCACCTGAAAGGAAGAGCCCATTCTTTTGTCCTCCCTGGTGCAAATTCATTATTTTGTAGAAGAAGCACACATATAAATGTTCCACAGACACATTTCCGATGCCCATACTTTCCCTGCTATATCAAAACCCCCAGAAAAACACATTCATACGCAAATCAGTCCCAATGGTGAGGTTAGCAAGAGTGCAGCGATACAATAAATGAACAAAACAGACCATCAACACTTAGGATTTTTTTTCTTCTCATAATAATAAAAATAGGAAACATAATCATAGCTTGGCTAAATTGAAAACCTTCAGTGTTCAGTGAGAGAGAGAGAAAGATCTGATGATCAAGCCATAACAAGAGAAAGGATTGGTCTGAGAGAGAGACACTGTGAGAGTGTGTGAGGAGGTAAAATGTGTTTATTGTCCCTGTCTCCCTGTCTGTCATTTGAAATTGGAGAAAGCAGACTGTATTATTGGACACCAGTGCCAGTCGCAGCCAATGATCTGGCTCCGTGATAGATCTGTTTAATGCTCACTTTATAGCTGGCAAGCCCCTGCTGAGGATTTTTCAGAAAGCTGACAGAGTGGTGTGTAGGTAACCTGCACGCAGAGAAAGGGGAAAATTACTGTTCTGAAATTACTTTGACTCAAAGCTTTAAAGTGGCATCTCAGTCCCCTCAACCTTTTTCGACTAGGCCGAAATAGATGACAGAATTTCCTCACCTCTCAAAGGTTTCATGGTGATAGGAACAAACAAAAGTGGGAGTATTTGTGACAACACACATAATACGTATGAAACGTGACTTGCCTCTGACATCCTCACTGAGTTTTACAGCCATTCGTTGCTGTTTTTATGTAGTCTGGCATGAAGCGGTGCAAGGACTTCTTTGATTACAGTTCTGAGATGCTTGTCACATGACCCGAGGGGTCATGAAGTCAGTGGTGGGCATTCAGCAGGACCTTGGCAGAGGCATTACCAATTTGTTCATTAGACCTTTATATGGGTGTAGGTCAGTGGGGCTCTGACAGGTGTTGTTGAGATGAACGACTTGGTTGTAAACTCGCACACATTTCGATCTTCACTTGTCAGTGAGGGCAAACGCTTCCAATAGAAACAGTAGTCATGGAAATGAGGGTTACTAACCCTGCCATGCTTAATTCATAAATCAGCTTCTGTGACCGCTAATGAAGCCAGTGTTTAGCGGAAGAGTTTTTCCATCCAAGTGTTGTTTTTTTGACACAAGAAATAATGTCAGTGGAATAATTTTCCAGTCCTTTGTCAGATGTCTGACAGCTCTGAAGTGAAGTCCTTAATGATTTGTATAATTGTAATCATCTTTCTTTTTTCCATTTTCCATTGTCTTAGGAACTCCACTGTCAGAATAATTTCATTTTAAACATTTAAATAATTCTCTTACTACGAACACAACCCAAAGAAATACATTGCAGTTCACATTGTACTTCACTAGAACTCCAAGTTAAAAGTCAAGTCTTCCAGTTAGACCATGTCAAGTCTTCATGTAGCCTTATATTTAACAATTGTATGGTAATTTATGGTAATAACAGTTGCCTCTAGATTAAAGAATGTCACGGCTTTAAAGTGTTTTTTAAAATTAGCTAAAACAGAGTCAGCTTGGACATTTTAAAACTGTTTTTCGGTGCTACAGTTGAGTGCTTAATTATCCCTAATTTCCTCTGTCAAATTGTCTTCATCTGCAGATGGGGAATGTTTGTCAAAAGGAAGTACTAAAACACATTCAGAGCCAACTGAAGCCGTGCAGCAAAATGATTGCAACTAGTACGTTGAATTATAAATAGCAGCTGCTTTCAATTTGCTGAAATTAATATTTTGAAAGAATGTATTTGGGGAATACAGTTATTTGCTTCCTTGCTGAATGCTTAATGAGGAACTGATGCCACACTCATGTTTGCAGAGTAAACATGAAGTTACACCAGCAGCCATTTAACTTAGCTTAGCACTGGGGGGAAAGGCTAGAAACAGCTTTACTAAAGCATAAAAAAACAGGTTTACAGCTGCTTTCTTTCTTTCTTTGACTGGATCTGACCCGAGATTTAGTCCTGTGCACTTAAGAATTCATCCTATTACTTTTATGAGCAATCATAAATAAGCACTGGAGACTCAGTTCCACTGGCTTTAAAGGCAAGTCCTAAAAATTACATTGTGCACAAATGACTCATGAAATCAGTTAAAGAGACTGATGATACAGTAAAGAAAAATTCTTGTTTCAAATATTTTTATTGAGAGCAAGTATCATGATTGTAGTTTTTACAAATTGACATAACATAGCTTATGCTCCTTTTTTTCTCTAAACTAACAAGGCAAATAATTAAACAACACCAACAAAAAAAAAAAAAAAAAAACCCGCAGTCACCCATAAGGGGTCCCAATACCCCGGCTGTCGACAAAAGGGAAGAGAAACAAGTAAACAAAGTTTTATATTTTCCCAAGGTATATAAGTAAAGGGTGCCAGATTAATTCAAAATCTTTTACATTGTCATTCATACTATATCTTATTTTTTCAAGGTGAAGAGTGTTTATAAGTTCAGTAAGCCACATTTTTAATACAGGAGTCTCATTGCCTTTCCAAAGCTGCAGGATCAATTTCTTTGCAATAATCAAAGCATATGCCATAAACCTTTTTTGAGAGTGTTGTAAATTTTGTGTTTCGTTGGAAATCCCAAAGATGATTACTGTCGGATTTGGTTCAATCTTACTTTTAAAAATATTAGACATATAAGTAAAAATATCATACCAAAAACCCTGAAGCCTTGGACATAGTGCAAAACAATGTAACAGATTTCCATAGTGTATCTTGCATTTTTCACAGAGGGGGGAACACTCTGGATACATTTTGTGAAGTTTTTCCCTTGAATAGTGTAGTCTGTGTATAATTTTGTACTGAATTAAACAGTGAAGGGAATTAATAAAAGGCGTATTTATGTTGTGTAAGGCCTCCTGCCAGAAATCTTCTGATAGGAGAGTCCCAAAATCTTTTTCCCACTCCTCTTTGATTGAAGTAGTTGAAGGTATACTCATCTCCTGTATTGAATTATAAAATAATGAAATTCTCTGTTCAAACCCCCTTCCATCACTAAGACATCTGTCCAAAGGATCGGACGGTATGTTTTCAAATTGTGGCAGGTATGTACGGATATAGTCTCTTAGTTGAAGATATCTAAAAAAATGACTGTGAGGCAATCCAAATCTATCTTTTAAATGTTGGAATGACATAAAAGTATCATTTAGGTATAAATCTTTTAATTTACAAATTCCCAATTCCTGCCATGTATTGAAAGCTCCGTCTACACATGATGGAAGGAAAGAGGGGTTAGCTGTAATGGGTGTACATATTGATAGTTTTTTCAATTTGAAGTGCTTAATTATTTGTCTCCAAATTTGTACGGTATTATAAATCACTGGATTCGAATTGTAATATGAGTTTGTCAAAGGAATAGGAGAGAGTAGTATTCCACCAACACAGTAAGGAAGGCAATCCTCCCGCTCCATCTGTAAGCCGTTAGGGAGTATTGCTGTGTC